TGCAAATTAAAATGCAATTACAGGAGCAGAGGCGAACGCCCACATACAGATGCACTTACACACTCGCACACCAATTTGAAATCAGCTTTGGTACCCAGAAATTGATAAACGAATTGCGTTTGCATACTTTCCAGCTGCCACTGGTTTGGCGCTCCCCAGTGTTTATCGAAGCTGGGGCTGCACATTCGTACACACTGCAATTGCCACGCCCACTCACACCACTTGAGAGTATTCACCATACGTGTCCAGAGCTGGACCAAAGGACAAACCGCAAACAGATGCGGGCTTTAACGTGAGTTTTGTTTTGCGATTTGGCCAACAGCTCTTGTTAAAAAACATCCATCCGCACACTTGTGGCCAAAAGTAGAAATACATTCTAAAATATATTCTAAAATAATCGGTACTTTTTTCTACTTACTCTTTTAAAATCCAAGCAGTTAAGAGTCCACCTTGTTATTCTATTTGCTCATATTTTTACATTACATTTTAACCGCCATTTCGTAAAGGAAAAGAGTTGCACATTAGTGCATAAGCTTTGCTTTTGAGCTTTGTGTTTTACATTATTATAGGCATCACATTAAATTAATAAATTAATCCTCGTAAATAATTTATTTGGCAAGGTAGTTAGACTATTGCTAGCGATTTTAGATTATTATAAAGACATAAAATAGATGATATTTATATATTTTTAAGTCACATTCTATTCTGCCAGTCGCACCTGTAATTCACTGCAAGCTTGCCAAGACAGAGAAAAACCGGGGACAAAGGGAAAATAAGTGGGGGCTCCCAGCATCCTGCTGACAGCTTGTGGTACATTTGCACATTTGCGCATATCCAGCGCCATCTGCATACAGAAGAAAGAGAACGCCAGTTAAATGCGCATATGTGTGTGCATACATAATTATGTGTACATATGTAGGTAGGCGCCGCTCGTTATATATTCTTTATTTTATCGATTTTAATATGAAATGCGATTAAAAACAACTTAGTTCGTTGTTCGTACTAAATGGCGACAGCTTAGATGAAGCCCCGTGCCTAAACCAAAGGCGAACTTGACTCTGTATATATTCAGCCCACTCCTCCCTAGCACGCGATCTTCGTTATAACATATACGAGGCAAGGCCCTTGAAATGGTAACAGTAGGCCACCTAATTATTAGTCTGAAATTTCATCCAGGGGTCGAAAAAGGTGTTGTGAATTTAAGTCCAATTTTCTGGTCTTTAACACATATGTCAAGAAGCGAATGATTTCAAAAAGTCTTATACATATATAATTAATTTAGGACATTCCAGGGTAGACAAATTTCAGCATCCCGCAGTTATTTTTATACCCTTGCAGGGTATTATAATTTCAGTCAGAAGTTTGCAACGCAGTGAAGGAGGCATCTCCGACTATATAAAGTATATATATTCTTGATCAGGATCAACAGCCGAGTCGATCTAGCCATGTCCGTCTGTCCGTCTGTCCGTCTGTCCGTTTCTACGCAAACTAGTCTCTCAGTTTTAAAGCTATCTGAATGAAACTTTGCAGTTAGTCTTCTATATACTCTCACTCGTATATATGTCGGAACGGGCCGGATCGGACGACTATATCATATAGCTGTCATAGGAATGATCGGAAAAGTTTTACAAAAAAAATTATAAAATTTTTAGTTTTCAACAGAATTTGATCAAATTTGAGATATAGCCATTTCATATTATTCTACAATTTTGTGTAAAATTTTTTGAAAATCGGACTAATATATCATATAGCTCCCATAGGAACGATCGAGAAATTAATTCAATTAATAAGTATAACATTTTCAGTTTTCAACAGATTTTCATAAAATTTGAGATATAGCCGTTTCATATTATTCTACAATTTTGTGTAAAATTTTATGAAAATCGGATTGCTATATCATATAGCTCCCATAGGAACGATCGAGAAATTAATACAATTAAATTTATAACTTTTTTAGTTTTCAGCTGATTTTCATCAAATTTGAGGTATAGCCATTTTATATAAGTCTTAAATTTTGTGGCAAATTTCATAAAAATCGGACGACTATATCATATAGGTGCCATACAAACGATCGTTTGATGTAGAGGAAAAATGCAAATCTGTGAATGTAAAACTGCAAATATAATATGTATAGGTGAATGAAATGAAAGCAGGTATTACATCATTGTTTTTTAACACAAATATATATAATTTATATGGTATGGAATCCTAGTCATAGAAGTTCTATCTGCAAGGGTATATAAACTTCGGCGTGCCGAAGTTAGCTTCCTTTCTTGTTTCTCTTGGTTTCAGGGAAATTCCCCTTTCTGTGGCTCCCACTTTCGTCTCCTCTTCTTGACATATGTATATCCACTCTAATAATTGAAATTTTAATTAAATGTTTGTGCCATGGCATTGGCCATACCTATCTTGCAGTGCATAGCGTGGTGGGAGCGACAGAGGATAATCCATATGGCTTGGTCCCGAAATGGCGTTGAGCCCGCAGAATTCATTAAAACGAAATCGAACTCAATTGGGCATAAAGTTTTATGCACTGTTTTATTTTTTATTTATCCCTGTACATATAAATATGTATATATATACATACGTATACGTACACGTAAATTTTCATTCAGCTTAGACCTTCGCCTTTCAGCGTGTTACGTATACGCCGTGGCTAACGAGCTGAAATGAAAATTCTTATGTGCGCCACATAAACTTATTGTAAGGGAAACAAAATACAGCGGGTAACAAGACAGTAGATATCTCTATGTATTAGATATCTCTATGAGATCAATCATCAGTCCATCCACGCAGGGTCGCCGCTTATGTCAGTCAGGAAATTGACCCAATGGAAATACACAGCAGCCTGGATTATGTGCATCGGTTGGTGAGGATAATGCCAGAAGGACTCAATAAGCTTGATGGCGGTTCCTTCGCATATATTATTTAATTAGGAATGCAGGTAAAGTGTTTATACATGGTTTAAGCAATGTATTTTCCAATATTTAATTTATGAAGCATACAAGTTGCTTTGAAGGTGCATCCCATGATTAAACTGTATTAAAGAACTAGAAGCCTTTAAAAACTTTTCCGACACAAAAGGCAACAAACTACTTAAAATACTGTAAACTCTTAGAGATCCCCATTTATTTCCCTCCCTTGTCAAACATTTACGTCTATCGATTTCAATTTACAATTGGCAAAAGGTTAATGCCATTATAATGAGCCGCGAAACAGTTTCAAACTTGCCAATTGCAAAACAGAATAATGAAAAGAATCAAATAAAAGCGAACGCCCGAGTCAGACCTCCAAAGCATATGCAACAATTTATATCGATTTACGGGGCCTTTGACCCACAAGGAGGGACTGGAGTTCGGAAGACGCACATTTATCTTTTGGTATCTTTGAAAATTGACTGGTAGTTTATTACGAACTTTTTCCATCTGGCATGTGACACCCGCACAGCATTAATACACATCAGGTGGCTGGGATTCCGGCTCCAGCTCCTTTATGTGTCCATCCGTGAATCCATGTGCGTGCCTGTATGTAGACGGATAGACACTCTCTACTCACAGTAGTTACAATGTTTGTGCTGATTCTGCTCTCCACTGCTGGATGAACTTAACAGATCGCACACACAGCTTGTAAGGGCAACCGTGAACACAAGGCGAACGCGTTACCGGTGGAACGAAACGGGGTCAAAAGACGATGTGGGGAGCGACGAAATGCGGGAGCACTTGACGCAGTAAGCTGCAACATTGTTTCGGTCTCAATTCGAATGTTTTCCTGGCTTTTGCATGGCGTGTCCTTGGCGGGTTGCAATTATCTCACCGGGATGGGGTTTCGTATTCTCCCCATTTAATGAGTGGTCCGTAGCAAGCCCTTAATTACTATGGCGAAAAGGTGAAAAGATTACTCCGCAATCATGAGGTGCTAAACTTTCAAATTCTCCAACCATGTATTAAGTATTTTTTTCAGAGCTTATGTTAACTTAATAGTCGAATGTCAATCCTTGCTTTTTCAAACTTCCTTCAGTTTTAGTTCAGTTTAGTCTTAGAGGGCTACAGAAATATTAGTCGATAATGCTGTGGGACTATTACATTTTCATACTGTGTGCCAACTTCTGTTAACCAAGTTAAACAGATTTATGATGCTGTATGCTGAATTTCGGGGATTGGGGGTCCAGATTGGAGAATAAGGATTCTGGCTAAGCACCTTTCTGGTGTGACCACCAGATTTATGTTTTACAGCTCGTCATTAACACACAACATTGTATCTAAATAGAAATGTTTATCTCACTTAGTTAAATTAAGATAATATCGCTAATGCTATTTAGAATGTATTCTACCGCAAGGCTATCCATCAATTGCCAACCATCTAACGTTCCTGTGTCACTTCCGGTGCGTTTTCCGTTCAACCCAAATAATTACCTCTTGTTCCCTAAATTTATGCGCTTTTATATACTTTGAGCTCCCACCTTACAACGTAATATGCTGCCATATATAATATTGCTTGCAGTTACTCTTTCCGCACTATTCGAATGTATCTTGTTCCATCTGTACATGCCGGACCAGGGCTTGTTGCATCTCGTAAGCCGCTGAGAGGAAAAGCTCTGGTCTGGCTGTGGAAAAGCGGCGGGAAAGCTTCACTGAGTGCGTATTCAGCGCCAAAGCTTCGCCCCGCATTTTCTCCGGCTTTTCCTTCGTTTTCCCGCTGATGCCGCAACTGGAGCTGTCTAGGAGCGCCTCCTGTGCTCATTACTCTAGTTTCCATTCGGTTTTCGGCATGCACTTGTGACAATTTCCCACTGACCCCGTCCCACTCGAAAAATCCCCAGAAGAGTCGCCAAAAAGGGTGGCGAAAAAGTAACCCCAAACCCAAACACTTTCATACCTTGGTGAACTTCGGCTGGCCGGATTCGGGTTCGGTTCATTTGGGCTTTAGTATTCGGCTCTGGGATTTCGGGCATGCATCAAGTGTAAAAGCGGAACGGTGTCAGTTTTTCCCGGGAACTCGATGCTTCGTGTTGTTCTGGCTCTGCTGACCAGTATTCCATATGCACCGAAGCCGAAACGGAAGCAAACGCAGCAACAGTCCACTCTCAGACATCAGAGGAAAAGCGCCGGACTTGCAGAATTCTTCTCGTCCAGTGAGAACAAAGTGAATAATTTTTTTTTGCGAACTGTGTGATTGTGTTTTTAAGTGCGCTGTGAGCCAGGAAGCTTAATATTCAAAAATTAAGAAACTGAGAGAGAAATCATCTCAACTGCCTAAAAAAGAGGTAGCGAAATAATTTTGTTTTTTTTTTTAACTTTTTTTTCCTACTGACATCAAATGTTTACATGCCATTTCTAATTAACGAATAGAATTGTGCATTGGTCGTGAGATTAAATGGAAAAATTTCAATGTAATATTTAAATGCTTAGCCGATTTTCGTGTGGTTTTCATCTGACCCTGGTGCCTCCCGTCGCTTCTAACCGAGTCGATCCGATCCAGCAGCGACGACAGGTTATTGGTAATCTACATTGATCATAAATAAACTCATCGCTTGTCATAATTAATTCAATGAAGTTCTTTGTGGCTATCTGTTGTTATTTGTGGCTCTGTGATATTCGGTATCGGAACGTAAATTATAGTATTCCCTCGCTTGGCATTTTATGTGCAAGCTTTGCTTAGCTGCACTTGCTTTATTTTATTTTATATTCTGTGTGTGCGGTGTGTGTGCCAGTGGTGATTTATTATTATGCCATTATTGGGTGACTTCTTATCGCACTTGTCGCAGCTGCCTGCCCGCCAGCTTGGCCGGGATTCTTTTTTGGAATTTTGGAATCGAGCGGCGAACCGAACCGAAGGAGCCCTCATGCATCAGTGTGTGTATATCTAGTGTGTCTGGGTGTGTTTAATTCATTAACTAAGTAATCGGAATCGATAATGCGATAAAATATTATTTCTCCGCAAAAGATAAACAGCTCTATTAACTGTGAGTGTATACCCATTGTCATGGCCAAAGTACAGATTGCACCCGATTGCGATTAGTCATCAACGTCACGGTGTTCCAGTTTCCTGCTCGCTCGACTGTTTTCACACCCTAGCGTATTATTCTTATTGATCAGCATCAAAAGCCGAGTCGATATAGCCATGTCCTTTTGTCCAATTATACGCAAACTAGTCCCTCAGTTTTGAAACTATCTGAATCAATTTTTTCAGCTAGTTTTCTATATACCCCTACTTGTGTGTACGTCGGAACGGGCTGAATCGAACAACTATATAATATAGCTGCCTTAGGAATAGTCTATACATTTTTAGAAAAAAAAAAATTTATAGGAACGATCAAGAATTTATTAAAACAAAATATTATAGCTTCGATGCGTTTTAAATATTTTCATAAACTCAGAGAAGTACCGATATTTTATTGTTTAAGTGAATGGGCATCATTGTTTTTAACATAAATATCTATAATTTGAATTGTATTAATTATTAATGACCCAATTGAAATCTAAAAAAGTGTATTTAAACTTCGCGTGTCGCAGATATCTTCTGTTCTTTTATTTTTTTTTCTTTTCCATAGAAGGCACTGCTCTCGGCAAAACAAAATTTCGGATCGCTTTAGAGCTGGCTTTATGACCCATCTGATCCACTCGCGTTGCTTCCACTGCTCCGGCTGGCATTTTAATGACCTTTCATCTTAGACACATATAAAATCACTTTTTGGGGTTTCCATTAAATCAAGCCCAATCAGCTGAAGGAGGTGGATTTCAAGATTGGGCGTTACTCCAAGTTTCCTCGTGTGTAATCGCTGACCCATTGTTATGACTGACCTGCAGATTAACTCCCTCCAAATTTGATTTATTTCACTTGAAATGGGGGAGAAAAAAGCAGAAGGATTGGCCAAACTAGGCTACGGGAAAGCATAAAGACAATGCCCTCCCCCCCCCCCCTTGCCCGTTTAAAACGTTTCCATTCTAATTTCGAATCCAAACGCCCTTTTAACCGGGTACTGATTGGAACACCAATAGGCTGTAGTTCAGAGGTTGGGGCTTGCGGGAGAGCAACAGGTCGGGGGACAGTTCATTAGGATATAGGGCTCGAGCCACCCGAGGGACTAGTCAGAAATTGTCTCATTAGTACAACATGTTCGCATAAGAGGCCGACCATAAATTCCCACTGTCTATAAAATCCCAACAAATTGTGTTCGTCCTAGCTTCTTGTTCCCTGGCCTTGTCGTGTCGTTGCTTCTTGAGCTCTTCTGTTGCAGGCATAAAGATGAGGTCGAACAGCCGAAGTCTTGCCAACTGGCAGCAGCACAACTAACGCGAAGGAAAGGAAAACTGGAGCGACAACTTTGTAAAAAAAAGAAAAAAAAAAAAGAAATAAAAACAACAAAAGATGCCTAACAAGAAAAACAAAAGAAAAAAGCAATGGACAACATTTCCCGTGTTTTTCCCGGGAGCTTGGCTAAAAAAATATTAAATGAAGCATGCTGCATTGACATCAACTTTAACCTTAAAGGCTACTTTCATCACATTGGTTATAATTGCTCTCGAGAGATATAGGCAGTAATCTTAGCCCCTCTATTCAAATGCTTAAGTATCCTAAACTACGCTTTAAAGATACGACAAAGGTTAAGCAAACCACTTTCAGATGTTTAAAGAAACCTAAATCAAGATGACACGCACAGGAAAGTGCTATGAAAGTGGGGCCATTTTTAAAGGAACGTTACTATATTTGGGGTTCGCTTGATCGCTTTGATCCACTGTGGAAAGCAACAAGCTTCATTTCCACACGACACATGGCCGCTGGTTGATAAGATGCAGTGAATGTGGCTGCGTGTGTGTGGGTGTGGTGGGTCAATGGCTTTTTCCTGCCTTGCTCCTCGCATTTTCCTCGTGCAAAAGGGCCACCAACTTGAGAGCCCGCTGCTAACGTGCCTTATTTCATATACGCTTTCGGCTCGATTTTGTTGCCAATGATAAGAACCGGCAATTGTTGTTCCACTTGTGCTTCTTGTGTTTTATGGTGCTTTTGTAGTAGCTAACTCTTGCCTGTTGACAGTGCGGGTGCTCTGTTTTCATTACATGTATTACTCGTTGGCAGAAAGTGGTATGTAGGGTCGATTAATGTTAGATACTGGGGTAGTTGGCAGGGCTATTGCCAGCAAAGGAAATAAGTTAGTCGAGTGTGCTCGCCTGTGAGATACCCGGCACCCGACGCTTTGTGCGTTCAATGAATCACAAGGGACAAAGCTAAATAATGCAATATTTGGGGTATAGGGTTTTAGTTCCATGTTTACAGCCCAATTGTATTATTCATTAATTCGCTACAGAAATTCCATTTTTTTTTTTTAAATTGATTACCAAGAAATCAGCAAAATTAGACCAAAACTAGCACCAGGCAACCCAACGTCGAGTTATTCTAAAGGGGCTGCTGCTCTTTCCTGTTTTTCCTGCCGCGAATGTGTGTGAAATATTTGAAATGCCTGCGGCGAAGATGTCAGCCCCCGCCTCCAATCTTAACACGGCAGGCCCTTGTTTATGAAGAACCTCTGGCCGTGTGTCTGTTTGCTTAAATTGCCTTTTTCGTGTCATTCATGAGACAGACACAAATTTGTGCCTACATAAATGATAAAAATGCATGTCCTACGTTAACCCTCCGCTCTCACACCTCTTAACCAACTCTTGTCAGCCTTCAACCAGCTTTGTGTCGCACACAACCGCTCTCTTATTGTTCGAGAAATGAATAGAAAAAAAGTATAAGTTCTCAGTTTTGCAAAGTATTTTCATCTCCCAACAGATGTAGCCAATTTTATTATTTCAGATTGTCGCTTTTAATTTTATAATAATCGGAAGACTGTCATATAGTTTCCATAGAAACGATTGTTAAATGTGGAGGACAACTGTAAAACTGTAAATATAATATGTATAGGTGAAAGTGATCAAATTGGGCTTCGATGTTTCTTTTACATAAATATACATAGTTTATATTGTATTGATTATTAATGATCCAATTGAAAACTGCAAGAGTATACAAACTTCAGATATCAAAATTGCTCTTGTTTTTATCTGAACATTTTCCGCATTTTATTCAATGCAATTTATGAATAAACATAATCATAATAATAATAATAAATCATTCAATAACTGTGGCAGGGGAACGGGGATTTTGAAATAATTATAATGATTGCTGTTGCTTCTGCGGCGAGGAATACGAAAAGGGAGTAATGGTTTATGGAGATTGTGCCGGGACATTTTCGAAAACTGGGCTCGGAGTGGCTTTGCTGGAATATGTTCCAATTTGTAAGAAAACGTACATAATAAGTGACGGCGTTGTAGGTGAAAATCGAGCTGTTTAAGTCCGCCGCAATTTACATGAAATTTGCTAAATGGAACACCGAAAAATATCCGTTTCACCAGAGATTTGGCCTTTTCTTTTCAATTTGTGCAGCGGTAGTGGCGCATACGACCAGATTAGCAATTGGTTCTCCCTTTTCTAGGCTTTTGGGTTCGTGCCTGGTTCTGAATGCACTGTCTCACATGTTTATCAGGTACACAGCGTCCCAGCAACCAGCCAAATGCAACACTGAAATTTTGAGCTCAATGCTGGCAATTGCCGGAGATCCATGCATGCTCCATAGTTGGACAGTTCGTACAAGTGGCGGAAATACCAACTCCACCGAAATGCCTTTACTGGACCATTTTGAAATGGGTTTTGAACACTTAAGATCGATTAAATACATTTATTATTTTAAGGGATCTAGGGGATTTGCAAAGCAAAGGAATACTTTAAGAAAGTGGCAACAATACACAGTCTCACGCAATTCCTTGCATATAATTAAATCGAATCTCATATACAAAAGAATTGACGAATAACAAGAATATTAATTCAGAAACCGGAACAAAGGATAGCAACAATTGACAGAGCAACAGGCAACAAGACAGAGAGGAAAACAATGGCAATAGGCCAGGACTAACAACAAATATTCCTCTGGGGGCCCACAAAATAAATTTCCTTTTTATTTATTTTTATTTTTTTGTTTTCGGCCGGGTCAGAATGCTAATGAATCACAGTAGCGCGGTCCGGGGCGGCTATATCTGTACCGAGCCAGGCGAATATTTATTGCGGCCAAGGAGTGGCCAGCAGAGCAGGCCCTGGGAAATCTGTTGAAAAACAAATAAACAATCAGGGCCAAGGCAAAATGAAATGTCACAAAAGGAAACAAAGGCGTGAGGCGCTGCGCTCCGGGGGAAGGGTGAGCAGCAGTAACAACAGCCATAGCCGCAAATAAATGACAAAACAATGACAAGCGGAGGATTGAAAAGCAGGCCTCAGAATAGACTTTGCCGCATGATTTTACATGCCCGAATTGGACTGTAACTAGCCGGGGGATTAGACCACCAAATTATAGCGTTCAGATTCAAATTAAACAGAAAACAAGAAAGGAAGCTAACTTCGACACGCCGAAGTTTATATACCCTTGCAGATAGAACTTCTATGACTAGGAATCCATACAATATAAATTATATATGTTTGTGTTAAAAAACAATGAAGTAATACCTGCTTTCATTTCATTCACCTATTCATATTATATTTGCAATTTTAAATTCACAGATTTGCATTTTTCCTCTACATCAAACGATCGTTTGTATGGCACCTATATGATAAAGTCGTCCGATTTTCATAAAATTTGACACAAAATTTGTGACTAATATAAAATGGATATACCTCAAATTTGATTAAAATCTGTTGAAAACTGAAAAAGTTATAATTTTTAATTGTATAAATTTCTATCGTTCCTATGGGAGCTATGTATATGATATAGTGGTCCGATTTTCATAAAATTGTACACCAAATTGTAGAGTATAATAAAATGGCTATATCTCAAATTTGATTGAAAAACTGAAATCTGTTAAAAACTGAAAATTTTGCTAATTTATTTATTTTTTTTTTTTTTTTTTAATTTTCCGATCATTCCTATGGCAGCTATATGATATAGTCGTCCAGTTTCATTCAGATAGCTTCAAAACTGAGAGACTTGTTTGCGTAGGTATAATGAGAAAGGAAGTTGAAATTTATAACCCTTTCACTTTGCTATTGGATCATTAGTAATTTTAATACCCTTGCACGGTATTATAATTTCAGTCCGACCATATTAAGTATATATATTTTTGATCAGGATCAACAGTCGAGTCGATCTAGCCATGTCCGTCTGTCCGTCTGTCCGTCTGTCCGTCTGTCCGTCTGTCCGTCTGTCCGTTTCTACGCAAACTAGTCTCTCAGTTTTGAAGCTAATATATATATATATATATCATATAGGTGCCATACAAACGATCGTTTGATGTAGAAGAAAAATGCAAATCTGTGAATGTAAAGCTACAAATATAATATGTATACGTGAATGAAATGAAAGCAGGTATTACTTCATTATTTTTAACACAAATATATATAATTTATATGGTATGGAATCCTAGTCATAGAAGTTCTATCTGCAAGGGTATATAAACTTCGGCGTGCCGAAGTTAGCTTCCTTTCTTGTTACAATATGAGTTATATATGTATATATAACTAAGCAGGAAATACCCCAACAAATATTTAAGCAAATTAATTTAGTTTAGGTCTTGAGCCCATGAGCCACTAGAGCGGGAGAGGGGCCTTTGTAACAATACACTCAAACCACAGGCAATTTCCTAAGCACTTTTCCTGCGCAGCATCCGCTTCTCAGCCACGCCTTGGTCTAGGAAAATCTACTTATTCAGACTGCAGTTAAAGTGCCGCAACTCGTTTACTTTAGCAAATTGTCGGGCTCCTAAGCCGCGTACCGAGTTCCACCGCCTGGCCGGATCTGGGATCAAATGGTCTTAAGAACCACACTGCACACACACACCCCCGGCACACATACATCACGCACTCGGCTGCCAAATTTGACTTGCTTAAGCCCCTTTAAGTCTTGCGAAAAAATCAAACACAAAAGAGGCTTAGCTAAAGTTTATTTTAAATTCCACAAAAAGTAGTCAGGGAAAACGCGTAATAAAATTTTAGAAAAAAAAGAACGATAAGACCCAAGACTTCCTACCAAGAAAGACAGCTTATTTCGGCACGCCAAAGTTTGTTTAAAGTTGCAGTTTGCAATTGGATCATTCGAAACCGATCCATTTTGTTTAAATAAAATGACCCACCGGGACCCGGATTTTTTTTTACAATTCAAGTAACATTTAATCGCTTGAATTGCATTTTGCGAGGCCACTTTCAACGTTAGTTATCCCACTCAACTTTATTCAACTTTATTCCATTAACATTAACTGCATTAGGCAAGTGCAGAAATAGCTATAAAATTAAAATACATAGCAGGGAGTTTAGTGTGAGTCGAGGCTCGCGACAGCAGTAATCCGAAGCAGCTTTCACATGCAGATGTCACTTTCGCGCTGAATAATAATCTTTTTGAATAGCCCGAGTCTTTTTTTTGTTTAACGACTACCTACCTTGCAATTGTGAACGAATTATAAAATTCTAATTTCAAAATGTGGAGTCTTATGCGAAGGGACTCGACCAGTGACGGTGCAGCATACAGGTGTGAAGTCAGCCTTACGGTTTGGCTAAGTGGCGCTCGCTCTAATTTGAACCCAGAAACTCTGGTGCTGTGCTAGCGGAAGACGCTTAGCAGGTGACTGTAATTTATGGCTTGTCTCATCCAGAACAATTTTCAATTTGAAGGTAAACACGGGGAATTTGCGAGCAAATTATCAGCATCGAGTCACGTAATTAAAACGAAATGTAACACGCCGCGAGCAGACCGAGCGAGAAAGAAGGCGAAAAGCGACAACAAACGGTAAATATATGCAATTCCCGTACAGAACGAGGACGGGGAGCACGCTGGCAGGGCTAATAATAAACTAAGAACCCAACTACCGCCGTTAGCTAGCCCATAACAGTTCCCAGTTATCGCTACAGTTACTGCTCCACTTACATATAAACCCTTTCTCCCTTCTAGATAATAAAACGCTGCGACGCCTCTTCCAATGTTTATGTAAACGCTGAGAAGCGGCCAACCGAGACGCTGGGACACTGAGAGAAACGAATGCGACGAGAATTGGGGCGTTGATTTGCGACAGCCAAACCGGAAATCAGCACAACCAGCTGCTGCCGGGACACGCGGAAACGAGGACACAAGCCAAGCAGGACACGAACGCAAAAGGATTGCAAGATGCGTGGCCGTCACTTGCGTCGCCGCTTCAGCCTGCAGCCCTCATTCATGAAGGATGACAACGCCGAAGATAAGCCCAAGCGCGACAAGTAAGTTATGACTGATGTAAACCAAAGAACATGCAACCACATGTGTCTGTAGGGTAGTAACAACCACCACTAGTAGCCCATATACAATTCCAAGCCAAGAACTGGAGAATTACGTAGCTTTCAAATTGTAACTGCACGAAGTTCATTAAACATTTCCCTTTGCCCAGCGCATAAATGCCGAGCTGAACTTTATCGGAAAAATTCCAGCGCGACGGATAGGAAAACCTTTGATCAGTGAAAAATATCGCGGTATGAGCCAGCAAACTCCTTTCAACCACGGAGACGGGCAGAAGCCGAGGCCGATGGTTTGGCATATTTGTTTTCACTTTTGGACAAACATTTTCCAGTCTTCATTAAGTTGAAAGGACGGGAAAAAAAAGGAAGGCGCAATGATACGTTTGGGAGAATATTAGGAAAAGGGAAAAGCGGCCGTTTCCCGCCTGATTTCCTGACGGCACTCACTGTCCATCCGTTGACTGTTTTACCCGTAGTTTGTATACTTTCCCTTTGTTTCGCCTGTCAGGACAAGAATTTCATGTTTGCCTCGCTTTTCTTTTGCTCCGCCTCTGCGGGTCTTTGATTACATTTTTCTTTCTTGTTTTTCTTTTTTACCCGCCGGAAAGGTGAAAAAAAAACACCTAAAAACAGAATAACAATAAAGAATAAGAATACTAAGGCAAGGGAGAGGAAGACAGAAGCCTGTCAGAATCGTGCTTATTAAAGTTAAATTTGATCCGCCGTTTGTTGGCTGTCTCCCATCGGACAATTATACCACTTCTTTCCGACTTTCCCTTTTTTCCGGATATTTCCCCGACTTTGCTGATTTCCCTGATTTATCGTCGCCCGAGAAGAGAGCAGAGGCGGAGAAGAAGTAACTGTCAGCGGCGTAGAACCTCGTATTCTGTGGCTTTGCGTCGATTGTCCAGTCGTAAAAGGCATTGAATTTCATCACAGATGTGCCTCAACCAATGTCCTCGCCCTGGTATATTTCCTGCCCGTGTCTAGTTCACATTCGCTGTCAGCCAAGGAGATAACAAAGTTTCTCATGGAAACACATGGCATCAATAACACTTTGCAGACAGCAAATATCAGCGATAGATTCGCTCACTCTAGCCGCTAAATTGGTATATATACATATGTATGGTATGGTTTAGTTCTTAGTTTAAAGCAAGGCTGTTAACTTAATAAAATTTTCCCGATCGGAGATGGTGTGCAATCCCTAAGCGGGACACTGCTCGAAAGACAAATAATTTCCTCGATAAGCAATTAATTTGCAATCCGAAGCAGCCCCAGCAAGCGACCCTGTACTATATAGTATATACATATGAATATGTGTGCCGTAGTGTGTTTAAAGAGTGCGATTCTTTTGTTTGTTCTGCTTTTGCTTTCGCTGCAGTTGGCGCTTTTTGATGTTGCCGTAATGATTAATTTTTGATGTGGCGCACAGATTTAATGAGTCGCCCAGGGGATAATGCCACGACCCCAGGTCGCAAATTGGAAATGGCTGTAAAGAGAAAGGGGAGAGAGAACAGCGTACATGCAGGCATTTCCCAGTTATTAAATCAATCAAATTAATTGCACCGAACTTAACTCACTCAAGTCACGTTTATTTTACGTTTCCTGTTTCCTGTTTCATGCCTTTCCCGAAAATCGCATTACTCATACGCAGAGTGGGCAGAAACAACGCGGTGGACGACGCCATCGGACCCGCCAACGCCCGCCACAAAATCGTTGTCATGGGCTCGGCCAAGGTGGGCAAGACATCAATAATCACACAGTTTCTGTACAATACATTCAGCACCAAGTACAAGCGAACCATCGAGGAGATGCACCAAGGCAACTTCTCCATTGCCGGCGTTAGCCTCACCCTCGACATCCTGGACACCGCCGGCTCTTACGAGGTAAGTTTCCTTCTCTCCATTGCACAAAGCACTTAGACTGTATTTACCGAAATAATAAGGCAGGATTTGGATCAAATTAAGAACCGAAATTTAACAGTCAAGAGCAACCTTCCTTATTGAATGGCAAAAGTTAACGCCGAATCAAAGGCCGATTAATTCTACATAGTGTTGATTCTGATTAGAGCTAGTTTCCCTATGCGTTTTCTCACTGTGGCCGCGCAGCTCCCCTCCTAGCTGGGTACCGCCCCTACTTTTCTACCTTTCCCGCCTAAACCCCCTGCTTTCTCCCGCTCCCTTGTGCTCCTTCAGAGCTGGGCTTTTAATTTTAAATAACCGACACTAATGGGCTGCAACAGGGCGCCAGAAGCCTTTAGTTGCTTTTCAATATTTCAATAAGCGACAACCGGCAAAGCGGCCGGCACTGCTGGCTCCCGTATCCTGGTTACTGCTTTATAATAATCATCGGCATCATCATCCAGTTGGGTGCAGCGGAAATTACAGCCTGCGATTCAATTTTGCTGGCACTTCCGCCGCGCGTGAATTGAAAAGCTTGTTCGTAAAAGCGAACAGCGGGAGGTTGCTGTGGCAGTGGCAGACTGTTTATCGTACAGGAGGGCGTGGCACACTCCTCATGCCATGTTTCTTATGAATGCGGGATCGGTGCATATAAATGGGGCGGGGATGGCTACAAATGGAGTCAGTCAGGCAGAGAGTGCAAGCCCAGCGAAGCCAACTGAACTGTGACTCTGCTCGACATACCGCGTTGTCCTTGGCAAAATATGGGCAACCACTCGTATAGCACGCACTGAGGGAAAGTATTGGGAGATCTAGTCATTCATTAATTTAGTTTGATCTCTATTGAGTGGATTTGCCAGGAAAATCTTGTTCTTAAAACATTTGGGCATTTAAGATTTAAACATTTCTGTGAATATTACCAAACCCCTGATGGCCGGATGTTTGGGTGTTATTTCTCCCAGTGCGCAGCATACATCATGTAACTCATTCCATATAACATATGCTTTTCGATTTATGTACAATCCAATGCAATCATACAGCATACATAAATGGAGGCCAGAACATAAAAGGCGCGACAAAGAATGGAACTAATGAAATGGATTCGCTCGGCAGCTCAAGCGAATCTCTACACAAGTGGACGTGGCATTGGGATTATCATTAAGAAGAGTACGCGGAGCCAAACGGCCGACGCCAAAATCACCTCAAAAATCAGGCATTCCTCTACTTGATGGATGCCCAAAGAAACAAGCCGACACCGACATCCTTTGGCATCCTTTAAGAGTCAACTAACTAACGAAACGAACAACGCACCAGGCATACAACACATATAATACAACACACTCACGCATTGCTCATAAATTTTACGAGTCCTTCAGGGCAAATCTTGGGAAGGATGCGGCGGCAAAGAACATACATAAATCGCCTAGTGGCAGGTAATATCATGGGCGTGGGCGCGGATCCGGGCAGCGGGTCAGGTCTTCTTCCTTGTTCCTATTGTTTGGACGCATTCGTCATCTTTTTGCACTGTCCACGGGGCGGATGCGCAATGATTTTGCTGTGGTCAAGTGACCATACGCAGCTGCATTGTTCTAAGTACCCGGGGAGACGATAGATAAATGCCATCGCACATAGGGCGGTGCAAATCAATGCCTTAAGACAGGTTATCTAAACAGCGAACCAACGAACTCATGAAAGTAAATAGTCAAAATTATATGTATTAACAGTGCTAGTTAATTGCATTTTGAACATTATTTAGTAATTTATTTCAGACTTAGACGCGTGAAATTCACTTTAATCCTTAATTCCGCCTCGAGCCGTAAACTCTCGCATCCCCAACAGGAGCGGGCTAACAATGCAATGGCTGCCTCGACCGCAGCCCGGCCAGGTCCCACCATGCGTATGGGTAATATTTTTGCGAGTGGCAAAAAAAAACTAACCGCAGGCCACACACTCTCCCAAACCCACCCCCTCTATCAAGCCCAGTACAGACGGACTTTGCGTTAGCGGTAAGAGACTCAGGAGATAGAAAAGGACGTGGAGCGGGTATAGGGGCCTATGTAGGCCTATGTATGATCCCTAGCAATGTGGAAAGCTCGAGATTTACATTGGAAAGATCTAGAGAATATTATTCTTTAAATAGGAAATATTCTTTAAATAGGAAATAAATCAGAGTTTTACTGCTTTTTAAGATATTTTAATTTTCTTTTTGTTAACTTTTACGTGCCAAAAACTTATCAGTTAACAAGAAGGTTTTTAATCGTATCGTAAATCGATAACTAAATTTATAAATTAACTAAATGTTGCCATTTTTAAATCGATATTTATCAAAGTTTAAAGTTTAGTTTCGGAAAAGTTTGAAATGTTATTATTTTCATGGTGAAAAGTCTCGATGGGAGACCGCTTGTAAACCTCCCCTGCAATTCCTCGAAAACCATCCACACCGGCGGCGACGGGGGCGTTATCAATATTTGCTTGGCATTTTCCCAGAGGTTACAGAAATTACTGACAAAAGAGGAAGGTGAATACATTGCGTATGTTTACCAGCTACAAATGGTATTTGCACAAAAATTCCAATTTGCAAATATTTAAAAGAAATATATACATGCTCTATACACGCATCCGAACTCGGGTTCGACTTCGAAATTCCCTGTCTCATGCAGAAATCGTGATATTTGTTATACACCTCCATATATCTCTTTGGTTTCTAGTTTTATAAAGTTGCTTTGTTGACTCTCTGCTCAATCAAAGTAAAACATTTAAAATTCAATAAATGCAGAGCTTCAGACACACATAGAGACGTGTGAATCGAGTTAGGGAACTGCCAAACTCAGTTAAAGTTTTCAGATTGTTTTCGGTTTCGAGTGCGGAGAGTCCATGTTTATTGTTTATTGTGCACCTTCAGCAAATGCTGGCATCACTTTTCGCTTGCAGCCGATATTTAATCAACTTTGGCAACTTTCCTTCCCCACTAGTAATTGCAAAGTGTGAAGAAAATTCATATGTGGATGTCAAAAGCGGGATTTGCATATCCTGCAAGGAATTCAGTTTCCCTGTAATATTTACAAAATTATTGCATTTCGTGCTGCCTATTTTCCATCACATCGTAGCCTCAGTGCCGCATCTCCATTGATAATCCCATGAATGAAAAGCTCACAAGAGAAACGTAAGACAAAAGGCACACAATCAGCCTGCCAAGTGGTAAGTATGGGGAGTCTATTGAGAAATCAAGAGGATGACTCCCTCATAAGAGACAAAACGAGTGACAGGCAAAGGATAAACACCGAGCCAAAAAATATATTGTGTTCGGATCGGAAGGCTTACTTACCTCGGTTTATCTTAACACAAATACATATAAAATATATTGTGTTAATTATTTATGATAGCATAGCAATCTGCAAGGGTTAGCTTCCTTTTTTGTTTTTAATAATATTTGAATATATAAAAAGGTTGATATACCAATACCATGCTTACCACTAAATTAAGCATTCCGTAATCCCACCTCTACCTCTGCAAATTTCTTAATTCGAAGTCACTAATATACTTTGCTGAACGTTTTTGTTATACCGAATACGGAATACGGTATCCGAATTAGAGGCAATTTCGATGATATTTCCTCTCGGTGCTAGAAGTGGAGCTGACAGCGTCAGAAACAGGCCCAGGGTTGGCACCTCCGTTCCCGACTCTTTCTGGTCTTGTGCCAGACTTGTCGTATGAGCAACAAGCGGAAGCCACATCGGGGAAGGGATAAATGGGTTTGAAATTGCTGAAAATGAAAGGGGAGGTTACCTACGGGACAAGGCCCATAGGGCGTATGTGCGATGAGCATCTCCTAAATGCACAAAATAGAGTGAAACGGATGCAGGGCGCAAAATCCCTTAAAGCTTTCTTTAAACAGATAAAAATGGATGAATATTGCCAGCCTGTATTTTTTAGAAGCTAATGCATGGAGGTAACACATACACATTCAAAAGAGGCAAAAAGACTAAGGACAGGCAAGACAACTACATAAAATATAAAATCAAAAGTGATATTTTCTAATGAATAGCTACGTACAAATTTTTAAAATTCATTGTTGTTTATACATAAAATTAAAGATAATATTATGGTCCCGTCTTAGCATTCCGCAGACCGATAAAGCCCTTCACTTGCATGTATTCATAAACGACGACACACAGTTTAGTAGAAACGTGTTGTATCTTAAACAAGCCACATAGAGGTTAACATCTTAGACATTTCTAGCCCTCTGGGAATATTAATTAAACACCGTTAACCGAGTAATTTTTGAAGGTTCAGATGTTCGGTCGAGTCGGTGATTTAAGTTCAAATTCAGATTCAGATTCGGACACCGAGTCACCTCCAGCTTTGGTTTATGTGAACGACAAGACACTGCCCGGCCATGGTTTCCCTTCCGCCTTTTCTTTTATTTTATTTCGTGGGATTACTTTTTATACCCTTGCAGGGTATTATAATTTCAGTCAGAAGATTGCAACGGAGTGAAGGAGGCACCACCGACCATATAAAGTACATATATTTTTGATCAAAATCAACAGCCGAGTCGATCTAGCCATGTCCGTCTGTCCTTCTGTCCGTCTGTCCGTTTTTACGCAAACTAGTCTCTCAGTTTTGAAGCTATCTGAATAAAACTTTTCAGTAAGCCTTCTATATACTCTCACTCGTATAAATGTCGAACGGGCCGGATCGGACGACTATATCATATCGTTGCCATAGGAATGATCAGAACATTTTTACAAAGAAAAATATAACATTTTCAGTTTTCAACAGAAATTATTCAAATTTAAGATATAGCCGTTTTATATTATTCTACAATTTTGTGTAAAATTTTATGAAAATCGTACTAATATATCATATAGCTCCCATAAGAACGGTCAAGAAATTTGAGAGGACCTGAGAATGGCGGTGGCTGTTGTCGGAAGACTGACAATCGCGGTGGCGATAACATTTTCAGTTTTCAACAGAATTTAATCAAATTTTAGATATAGCCATTTTATATTATTCTACAATTTTGTGTAAAATTTTATGAAAATCGGACTAATATATCATATAGCTTCCATAGGACCGATCGAGAAATTTGAGAGAACTGAGAATGGCGGCGGTTGCTGTCGGAAGACTGACAATCGCGGTGGCAATAACATTTTCAGTTTTCAACAGAATTTAATCAAATTTGAGATATAGCCATTTTATATTATTCTACAATTTTGTGTAAAATTTTATGAAAATCGGACTAATATATCATATAGCTCCCATAGGACCGATCGCGAAATTTGAGAGAACTGAGAATGGCGGCGGTTGCTGTCGGAAGACTGACAATCGCGGTGGCAATAACATTTTCAGTTTTCAACAGAATTTAATCAAATTTGAGATATAGCCATTTTATATTATTCTACAATTTTGTGTAAAATTTTATGAAAATCGGACTAATATATCATATAGCTCCCATAGGACCGATCGCGAAATTTGAGAGAACTGAGAATGGCGGCGGCTGCTGTCGGAAGACTGACAATCGCGGTGGCAATAACATTTTCAGTTTTCAACAGAATTTAATCAAATTTGAGATATAGCCATTTTATATTATTCTACAATTTTGTGTAAAATTTTATGAAAATCGGACTAATATATCATATAGCTCCCATAGGACCGATCGCGAAATTTGAGAGAACTGAGAATGGCGGCGGCTGCTGTCGGTAGACTGACAATCGCGGTGGCAATAATATTTTCAGTTTTCAACAGAATTTAATCAAATTTGAGATATAGCCATTTTATATTATTCTACAATTTTGTGTAAAATTTTATGAAAATCGGACTAATATATCATATAGCTCCCATAGGACCGATCGCGAAATTTGAGAGAACTAAGAATGGCGGCGGCTGCTGTCGGAAGACTGACAATCGCGGTGGCAATAACATTTTCAGTTTTCAACAGAATTTAATTAAATTTGAAATATAGCCATTTTATATTATTCTACAATTTTGTGGAAAATTTTATGAAAATCGGTCTACTAAATCATATAGCTCCCATAGGAACGATCGCGAAATTAAATCAATTAAAAATTATAATTTTTAGTTTTCAGAAGATTTTCATCAAATTTGAGATATAGCCATTTCATATTAGTCTTAAATTTTGTGTCAAATTTTATGAAAATCGGACGACTATATCTTATATGTGCCATACAAACGATCGTTTGATGTGGAATAAAAATGCAAATCTGTGAATGTAAAACTGCAAATATAATATGTATAGGTGAATGAAATGAAAGCAGGTATTACTTCATTGTTTTTGAACATAAATTTATATTATTTATATTGTATGAATTCCTAGTCATCGAAGTTCTATCTGCAAGGGTACATAAACTTCGGCGTGCCGAAGTTAGCTTCCTTTCTCGTTTTTTTTTTTGTTTTCTTTTCTGTGAGGGCTTTTATGGTAAGGTTTTCATTTGCTTTGGGATCTTCAATGACCTCCTGGATTGGATTTTCCAGCCTTCTGCTCCAAATCGTTTCATTCGTGCTACGATTCATTGCACCAGCCGCATAAGAATTGGAAATAACAATGCAGTGAAAGCGAATAGAGCATATCGTACGTAGTATGTTCAATTAATTCCATTGCAATGTCAGGAAAATTTCAGAGGTATCTTTACAAAATTGCTTGAAAACAAGCTGGCCTCCCATTGCAAACCCTAAAATTAATTCGTCAAGTTTGCCTCAATTTTTGGGAAATTTATCCAGGCTGATAATTTTATGATTTTCAGAAATATGTAAGCACACTTTATTGTGAGTGTAATTTAAAATTATGCACACACGACAATGCGAATTATTCTTTTTCAATGTGCTTCCCCTTCACTTGACGGAGAATTAAGGAAAAAGCAAGAACATTTTTTCTGCCAAGCGTAAGAATTTACATTATTGTCTGTGATTATTCAAATATCGGCGTGTGTGTGCGACAATATAATAATATGCAAATTGCCGTTGATGAAACAATTGTTTTTGAAGGCAGACGTTGTCGTTGCTGTAATTTACATTCCTTGTTCAACACTAACTCATTTGTCGCCCATTTTAATGAATTTTAAGAACGACAGGCATTCAACGAAATACAGGTTACCGTGGCATTGCAAAAATATGGCGTAACACTTTCGGCATCTCAATTAGGTCCTTGAATGGGAAGAAAAAGTAATATTCTGATGTTATTCGTTTAAGGCTTATTTTTCTTGTTAGCAAAATCAAATGGCAATTCAATTATGAACATATTCCTATATAAGTTGGGCAAGTGCCAAGCCATAAAGGACTATCAATAGAAACACATTCTCATTTTTTTGTTTTTGGTTTAAAAAATAAAATAAAAACAAGAAAGGAAGCTAACTTCAGCACGCCGAAGTTTATGTACCCTTGCAGATAGAACTTCGATGACTAGGAATTCATACAATATAAATAATATAAATTTATGTTCAAAAACAATGAAGTAATACCTGCTTTCATTTCATTCACCTATACATATTATATTTGCAGTTTTACATTCACAGATTTGCATTTTTACTCCACATCAAACGATCGTTTGTATGGCACCTATATGATATAGTCGTCCGATTTTCATGAAATTTGACACCAAATTTAAGACTAATATAAATGGCTATATCTGAAATTTGATGAAAATCGGCTGAAAACTGAATATTATAATATTTAATTGATTTAATTTCGCGATCGTTCCTTTGGGAGCTATATGATATAGTAGTCCGATTTTCATACAATTTTACAGCAAATTTTAGAATAATATGATTTGGCTATATCTCAAATTTGATTAAATTCTGTTAAAAACTGAAAATGCTATAATTATTTTTGTAAAAATTTTCCGATTATTCCTATGGCAGCTATATGATATAGTCCGATCCGGCCCGTTCGACATATATACGAGTGAGAGTGTATAGAAGACTAACTATAAAGTTTCATTCAGATAGCTTCAAAACTGAGAGACTAGTTTGCGCAGAAACGGACAGACGGACATGGCTAGATCGACTCGGCTGTTGATCCTGATCAAGAATGTATATACTTTATATGGTCGGAAGTGACTCCTTCACTGCGTTGCAAACTTTTGACTGAAGGGTATAATAAGCATAATTTGTAAATATTGTATATCAGTGTAAATTGTGTGAAATTACTTAAAGTTTCTGTAGCACAGGTGAATTGTATTTAATAAATTATAAATCGTTCTGTACTCCTCCATCTAGTTCCCAGCGATGCGAGCTCTCTCAATATCCTCAGCGGACGCCTTCATCCTGGTTTACGATGTCACTGATGCCAGCACATTTGAGGAGGTGCGCACGATCCGCGACCAGATCCATGAGACGAAAGCCACCTCGGCGGTGCCTATTGTGGTCGTTGGAAACAAGATCGACCTCCTGGCTGACGGTGAAACGGAGCGCGAGGTAAATCGTTCTCAATACTAACATAAGTCTCTTAAAAATTAAAATTTTCTTCACAACGAATATAAATAGGACAAAATATCACTTGGGGATGAAGAATTACATATTAACTCTCAAACTTATTTTGATATCGTTTTAATTTGTAAACTTTTTACTCATAACTAAGCCAACACAGCATAAATTTCAATTGGGAAAGCTGTTTTATGCTAGTTATAAATAGGCAAATAAATATGCATACTACAATTAGTCTTTTAAGCTACCTACATTTTTGTCAATTTTTCAAAATCTTAACAATGTAAAAACTGCTTAAAAAATGTTGAAAACATTGTGAAAATTTGTATTTCTTTCCTCCATGCCTAGAAAGATTCGCCTGTTGATGCTGATCAAGAATATATATAGTTTATGGGGTCGGAAATGAGTCCTTCACTGCGTTGCAGGCTTCTGTCTGAAATTGGAATACCCTTCAAGAGTATAAATATGTTGAAACTTGGCAAAGTTATAATTATTTATTATAAAAGTTTCGGATAGTTTTCATAACAGCTTTACAATGTAGTTATCCGATCTGGCCCTTTTCAACCTATATATTAGTGAGAATTATTCGTTTTGTTAAATATATAAAATATATTTAGGAATATCTGCAATGTTTCATTCAGATAGCTTTAACACTGAGAGGTGGTGTGGGGACTTTCTAGTTCACATAGAGGTCATTCGCCCGAATTTTAATTTGCATGAATTTTAATTGCCGTCGAAAATGGTGATGGCGGGTTTTGCGACAGCTTTGATTTCGTTCTCTGGCAGTGTTTCAGAGCTTTGAGGGGTGTTTGTACAATTACCGCTCCATTTTCCCCATCAATTAATGGAAATTACTTATTTTTGGGCGTTCCAGCAATTATGAAGAGATTGTCAAGCGTGGTGTGATGGAAAGGACAAACAGTTTAATCAAAAGTTTTCTCAACCGACGACTTGGGGGCGTGGCGAAATTCAGTTAAGCAATTTGTCCGAATTTTAAAGTCCGAGTCCGTTTAAATTCTGATTCCGAAAGGTGCTCCATTGATTATTTAATAGGAGCAACGGAATCGGTAGACTATGCTGCGAGTTTGAGTACTAAGTCATTACGGAGTCGGCTCCAAAAGAAGCTAAATCCGTTAAACCGAATTTCAAATGTTATTTTTTGTTTGTCGGAAAAGACAACAGCACAATTGGCCATGGGCAAACAAAAATAACCTTACATGTTATAATAACAATACTATCAGGCTGATGCGAAATCCAACCTTGAGTATTTTGCATATCTTAAGTGAGCATCATTTGGCCGGGCCATAGTACAGCCTCAAGAAATTTCTCGGTATAAGTTTTACCGCAAACTGATTCTAATAAATTCGGGGCACAACAGCTAAAATAAAACACGCGGAAAAAAGTATCGCAGCAACAAAACAAAAGGACAGAATGAAAGGTACGAATATGCACGTACAGGAAAAGTTTGCTGGGGGAACTCAGCTTTGGTTGTCATACTTGAAAGCAAAACATTAAATGCAAAAAACCAAAATGAAACCGGAAATTTGAGTTGTAAAAACTTGCCCGCTCGGTCCAATTTACGTTAATTTCAAAGTTCTTAGGGTTGGGTTCCGTTTCACAGGAAAATCGCAACATGCTGGTTACCTAACCGTTTTATTCAGAATACACTCTGAGATATACATATGTATGTATCTTACATTGGCTATTTATCTATTCTCTCGGTTAAACCGGCGACACCAGACTCTTTCTCTTGAGTGAGTTGCGGTGGCTTCACCGCTGATTTGCACATTCCAAAGATCATCTGTTGACTGTTTTCCAAATCTCGTGTTGGATTGTTGCAAAGGTCCGAACAATAATTGACAAAGCTCACAATTTCCTTTTATTCGACAAAACCGTATATATAACAGTATTCTTGATCAGCTTCAACAGCCAAGTCAAGGCTATGTCCGTCTGACTATCTTATACTCTTACTTGTATAAAATTCGGAATGGGCAGGATCGGACGAATATATCATATAGCTGCCATAGAAATGATTGAATAATATTTAGAAAAAAATGTTAGCTTCCAGATTCCAGATTGCAGCCGATAAGAAATAATAATAAAGTTTGTGTTCACTTGTATGTGGTATGAGCGTAAATTGGTTCCCCCTCGGAGAGTGGGTGCCTTTTAGAAGCTTCTTTATGTTGAATGAATTAGTTTGTATGTCAGTTGAATTAGAAATTTGGTCCGAAATATAACCTAAAATCTATAACTTTACTCACCGGAAATGCACTGAAGTCTATTTGTGTCACGCGGGTTAAGCATGGGTCTTATTTATTCTATTTGTGGGGTTAACAATGCTCGTACAAAGTTTTTTTTACAGATCTCCTCCATCTCCATTTCTACTTCCATCCTTATCTCCACCTGCAGCAACTGTTGCCTCCCCATTTCCACACCAAGACATCCAGATGCTTTGCGATTCGGGTGCAGTCCCCACTTGGCCCAGCTTTCCCTCGAAAAAGGCTGTCAACTGCTGCTCGCTACGGAGCTGGCGGCGCAGTAGCTCGTGTTGAAATCGGTAGCGGCTTTGCTTGTTGGTCATCTGGCTGAGGATGCACTCTGCCAGCTTGTAATTCTTGGCCTGGACGTATTGTAGCCCGTTCAATACTCGATCATCGTGCCAGGCCAAGGGCAGCTTAGGGATAGGACTTGATTTTGCCTTTCCTCTTCCCTCTTTTTATATTATTATTAGATTCACGAATTTTTACAACGCAATGACAGGAGTCGAGGTAAAAGATAACATTTCGACTCTGGCATACTATGACTGAGTTCTTAATGCAAACAATTGCAACCTTCTGGGAATTATGTTATATGGCTATGAAGTTGTTAACCCTACCTTTCAGAGTTGTATTACTTTGATCTGAATGTTTGGTAGGGTCTGACACATATGTATATATTCTATCAATGAAATGAAACTAATTTAAATGTTTGGCTTGTCTACTTATGCCTATCATACTACAATGTTAGACAACGTTGGCCACAAAGTTGTAGACCCCTATATACATAAGTGGTAACAGGGAATATAATATTAAACAAAACTTAGAATGCGTCCTTGGATGAAATGAAAATGTGTAACGAACGCTTTTGGTATCCTTGTTTCTTATAGGTTGAGTATGCCACCACTGAATCGGTGGTCACGGTGGACTGGGAAAACGGCTTCGTTGAAGCCTCCGCTGCAAGTAACGAGAACATTACTCAGGTGAGCTACTGAGCAAACGAACCACTCTATCACCAATTTCACATTCTTTGTTTTACTTGCAGGTGTTCAAGGAACTGCTGGCCCAGGCAAAGATAACCTACAACCTGAGTCCAGCGCTACGTCGCCGCCGTCAGTCGTTGCCGCAGCAGATTGGTAATAATGGGCCGGGAACTCCTCTGCACCACCACCAGCATCATCAACATCAGGCGCAGCAACACCACCACAACGCAGGTGGCGGATCGGCGTCCACTTCTGCGGCGGCGGCTGCTGCGGCGTCTGGTTCCGGAAGCGGCGGCCATGGATCCCACGCCCCCACACCCGCCCAACTGCAGCACCTGCAGCGCATCCAAGAGCGGAGTCTGGGCGCCAAACGCAATTCGTGCAGCATCTCCTAAGGATCGCGAAAAGGTAAACTAAATGGTCTCCTACAAACGGTTCTCAGTACTTTTTCAATAATGTAAAACAAAAATCCACAAATATGCAAAGAATAGACTGGGTCGAGTGTTAGGAGTGGCAACCAATCTTTTCGGGCTCAGCTAGCAAGCGTAGTTATTATCTGAAACGTAACGTAACGTAACGTAGTTATTAATGAAACCTAAGGAAAGGAGATCTTTGTCTAAAGTAATAAATCAAAAATTGTATTCCCAATACGTAGGTTTCCTGGGCATCTTAGAAACTTTGCCAAAAACTTGTGTTCATGGTCATTATATTTCTAATTTGATCTTAAATCATTCCGCTTAAACTTTCACCTCAATGCTTAAAGATTGGTCTCCACTCCTACTATTTCTAACCATTTGACATCTAACCGAATTGGCCCACACTATCGTAGAGCAATCTCGACTTAAATGTACCTCTCTCTATTGCTAGTGTTGCTCTAATACTTTAGTACCTATCTTAAGCCTCTGGTTTCTCAAAACTCAGCCCATAGCTCAACATTCTAAATAAATATATACATACATTTATACCTATGGATGTAGGAAAAATTAAATCTTTGAAGAGATATAATTTAATTAAATACTTATAGGGAAGCTAACTTGTGGAAGTCGAAGATTTTATACCCTTGCAGTTTTCAGATTAATTTACCAATGGCTCCTACGTAGCTTAATAGTAAAGCCATCTGACTACAACAAAATTTATAAAAAAGTGTATAAACAAAAATAGCAATTGGATAAGATGCCAATATGATTGAAAACAGTGAAATTTTAGTTTGGTTTCCCATCATTTTCCGAACGTTAAGCTTTTTGATATAGTCTTCCGATACTGCTTGGTCCAACTTATATTCTTTATTGAAAAGATGTATTAAAATAGCTCTTAAAACTAAGAGAAGGGGGTTTTATAACCGGATCGAGTCGGTTGTTGATGCTAATCAAGAATTTAGATATCTGAAATGACTCCGTCACCGCGTTGTAATGTAAGCTTTTCATTGAAGTTATGCTGCACTGCAAGGGTATAAAAACACCATAAAATATTACGTATACGTACACATAGGTGCATACAAAAAGGAACACAAAAGGTATCTTTTACGTCTCTCTTTCTCATATCCTTTCTCCCTGATCGTTGTATTTGTCTAAAACAAGCGTTTAATATTTATAATTGTGTAATGAGCATTTAGGACCGACCTGTGTACGCATGGAAACCGAAAACATATTTTTGTAAACACACTGCAAATGAAATTATAGCTAAGAAGCAGAAACAGATGAAACTAAAAGCAAATGCATAGTTAAGAAGTAATTAATTGGCAAATGGGTGACTATCCAAGCGACTTATGTATATGTTAAGCACAATGAGTGTTTTTTTTTATTGGATCTTTAATTTATTGTTTTCTGTGTATAGTTAGTTTGTAGTTGGCTAATTGTGTGAGCCAAGCTAGGTGTGACGACTAGTTGAAACGAATCAAATCGTTAAGATTGAAAATGCAATGAAAACACCAAAGAATAAGACGAAATAAAAACTAAAGCAAATGCAACAGAATATTGAATATAGATTGATAGAAAAATATATATGGAAATGTTATGGTGTGCCAGATTATAGTCGTGTTAAGAAAAGTTCAGATCTAGAACAATCCAATAACGGGCCAAACTGTAACGCAGCTATTATTAGTTTCCGTAACATCGGGCAACATATACTTATTTGAGGTAAAATAAATCCAGATTAAAGCCCTAAACAAACACGAAAACATAAATAAAATAAGCAAAGTGTTATATATATGTGTGTACCATTAAAGTTATATTAATGGCTACAATAAATACTTCCGACTCCAATATACTAAATTACTATTCAAATACTAACGGATAACTTGAGCAAATAATCAAGGCATAATTTAATCGTACTTTGGATTGGATATTGGATATTGATGTGTTGCTTGCAAATCGACAGCAAAAACTGAGAAACCTTCAAAGAATTTATGTAATTAATATGTAATTTTGAAAAAGCAAATCATACAATATCGCATATACATATATAACTCTGTATGTGTAAATAGTTGTATATTTATATAAATATATATATATATATGTATATTTATATATATATGTATATATATATGTGTGTATATATACATATATATATATATATATATATATATATATATATATATATATATATATATATATATATATATATTTATATATATATATATATATATGTATGGAAATACGATCTTTGGCAGGCCAAAGATAATTAAACTGGGATATATTTTACCAGAGTATAATCCAAACATACATATGTAAGTTGTTTGTCACTAAAGAGACATAACAATTAGTGCTTGTTTTTTTCTATTTTATATTTTGTTCTACAATAAACCCGAGATTCAGATAGGGCTTCAGCAAGAGTATAAGCCTAAAACACGTGAGTCATTGAGTTGCCAAAATACGGAGATACGGGTCTGCGTATGAGCATTATTATTGATATAGTTAGGCGACGCACTGTGGCCAATCCCCAGTTTCTTTTGAACTAAGAACCTTTTCGAAAACCACATTCAGTTAACTTCAGATTAGTTCTGGGACACAGTGCGGTAGTTCTGAAAATGAATGAGGCTGCGTAGAGCTGAATATGGTGTTAGCAACACAGCTGGACGCAAGGGGGTTTACGTAGAACGACCACCTAACCCCCCATTATTTCAGTCCAAGCTTTCGAATCCCTTTCCTAAATGTCTAGTGTATGAATCCCTTCTAACACGAATATATATCAAACATCTGTGAATGTTATAGAAAACATATAACCAGCTTTGACTCAGCCTCTGTTGGTTCCTAGTTTATCCACAACATAAATTATTAATATACTTTAATTCGGCAATACATATGAATATGATATATACGTACATAAACATAATGAATAATTATAACTGTAATTGATAAAAAGTGACGAATCAAGAACCGGAAATAAAAGCAAATGCGGAGACTTTTTTGTGCTTACAATTTGAATTTTTAGCTGAATGGGTTGGATTTGTCAATTTTATTTAATTAACCCACTACCGCATAAAAATCCATATCGCTATTCATTTTCAATCATTTTTTGTTGTGATAAAACGGCAAATATGCTTCACCGTTTATTAAGTAGTTAATTTCTTTGTACCATTTTTTATTCGAATTTAATTATTTTAAATCTAAACTAATTAATTTCAGGTTTCGATCATTTTCGTGCAAGTGTTTTAAGCTGATGATAGTGATTAACATAAAAGAATTTTGCTGAAATTAAATTTTCTCTAATAAAAAACCTTTTATTGCTTAAAATGTTTACTTTCTAAAAGAAAATACAGCAGAACGTGGACTTATTTATGAAAAATACTTTGGAATCCATTATTTATTTATTGCTTTAAACTTATTTGAATTATTTTACAAGACATAGTTATTAGATGATTTTTTCTGGATTTTTACTTTATTAATTATGTTTTATTCTATTTTATCATTTTTTATAGCCTCGCAGTGCATTATAATTTTAATCATATCCAATACAATACCCAAAACGTTAAAGAAAGTTAAAATAGTGAAAGTGAATAATTTATCAAACATGTTGGCGTCAAAATTCAGCGCTAAAACATCCTAGGTAAGTTTCATTCTTTTATTATTCGTTATTTTCTTAATATATTCGTTGCTCATATTAATAATTTATGATTCAATAATGCTGTAAATATACTTACCCAAGTTCACGTGAAATATTATTTTTTTATCGGTTACAAAAATGAAAATTTTTTTAAATTGATATCACGTTGCTAGCAATATACAATGGACACATTCTTGTATTAATTAGCGAAGTTATATTCGTCCGATTCTATTTTTGTTGTTTAGCTCAGTAGAACGTGAATTCCTAACTTTATGACAAGGGGCTGTGCCTGATATCTAGATTCAAGCAGTATAATAGGGTGGTTTTGATTCGACTTAGTTTCTTTTTTATGTTTGGTTACCTGCAACACAGCCTCTTGGTTTGTCCTTGTCCTCTTGTCCGATTCTGTTAGTCAGGAGTTTCCTATGGGCCTCCTTTAGTACTCTGCAGCCCCGTTTGTCTAATTTTGTTTTGTTTTTTTTCTAAACTTTTACTAACGACAGTTCTACTTGCTTTGGAACTTTACCTGTGTGAGTATCATTAGTTAGTGGCTTCGAGCCATTTATTAGAAAATAACATTTGATTGGAGCTCACCTCACCACATTGCCCATCAAAGTGGCCCCTAGAATTTGCTCGGTGGTTCGGATGCAGCAGGAGTCATAACAACGATCTAATCCGTCACTTACGCTCTATTAGTGCTAATAACTTGATGTAGTTAGAGACATGTGTGCAGGGGGCGTGTTGTGAGGTGTGTCGGAAGTGTGAGGTGTACGCAACTGATATTTCCATGCCGGAAAAGTGGAGCGTGGAACCTGGAGTGCGGGAGTTGGGGATGGGGGATGGGAACACAGTGCAAGTTCGAAAGCCAAACGCATGTGGTGGCTTCGCCTACGGCTTTTGTCATCTGTTATTCGAGTGGGTGAGTGTGCGCCGGATGACAGGGGAATGGCACTTGGAGGACACTAAGTAGAGGGGAATGTGCGCAGCGGATGTAGCTGCGAGTACGGATGCTTTGGCATCAGCTCCTGGCTCCAGCTTATTCGCCTGTAATTATCGAGCTAATTTAATAAATGAAAGGCAATGAAAGGCGAACCTTGCATTCGTTGTTATGTTGCTTAACCGGAGAACGGAAACAGCATCTTAAATGCTGCGGCGGATTAATTTTCTCCTAAATATTTTCAAGAAATTATCATAAAATGGATTGGAACATTGAATAAAAAGCAAGCTGATGCCTTCGTTTAAAGGTAAAACATGTACTTTAAGTACAAGTTAGTCCGAAATACTTTATGTATATAGGATACTTTAGTTATATCAGTCGTTCTTCTACCGCACCCTCAATTGTTTTTGGCAACTTGAAAGATTGCCTTAAGTTTCCCACCAGACAAAGAGGTGGTTTTGGAGCAGGAACAGTGGTGGAAATTTTGGCAAAGTTACCGCCACTTATTGGCCGTCCAAAAAGTTGTGGCCGCGAGTTGCCTTGGCGATACTTTGACAAATTGTTTTGCCCAAAAATGTTTCCTTCTGCTCTCTCTCTATCTCTCTCTCTCTCTGTGACCCGCAGCGACTCTCCATCTCTCCTCCGAGGAGCTTTTCTTATCTGCACTGCAACTACTTTTTGAGTTGCATTTGAGGCTGTCAGCTTGGCTGTTGCTGCTGGCTGGTTACCATTTATCAAGTGGCCGGCGCTCGGCGACATACGTGGCGTATAATTAATGGGGAGAACGAGGAACGCAATGTTCGTTTTGGCAATTAGATAGCATTGCGTGCAGTCTCGGGGAGCGGGTTTTCCATCACAGTTACAGGGGAAATAGCAACAATGGCCTAGCATCAATCACAGACAGCTCAGTTTCACTCAGTCTTGCTCAGATCGGCGCTGA